CTTGCCCTTTGTCAATGGACAAAGGAAATGGTAACCACAGGAAGAAGGTGGGAAGAGTGCTGTTCCATTGTGGGGATCACAATTAATGTCACCCATAAAATGTGTATGAACTGGTGAATGGAAAACCAATTTGCTATGTAAACTGTCACTCAAATCACAACAAAACATTTAAAAAAAGAAGAAAAAAAAAGAGTTCTGAAATCTTACAGAAGGGATCAAACGAATTTCATTTGGCTTTATTTGTTTGTTTTTGTATTTCAGGAAATACCAATATTTTGTAAAGTTGGTCTGATTTTAACAAATTCCCTTAGTTTCTGCTTATCTGGAAATCTCCTAATTTCACCATCATATTTGAAGGACAATTTTACCAGGTATATAATTTTGGTTGAAATTTTTTCTCTTTCAAGGTTTTATATATACCATCCCATTGCCTGCTAACCAGAAGGCAGGTGGTTCAAACCCACCAGCCACTCCTCAGAAGGAAGATGGGGCAATGTACTTCCATAGTGATACTTCCTTGGAAACCCAAGGAGGGGTTGCTATGAGTTGGGTCTGACTCGACGGCACATAACAACAACAACAACAACATTGCCTTTTCACTTGCATGGTTTCTGCTGAGAAATCAGAGCTTATTCTTACTGGTTGTCCTTTGTAAGTAGATTTCTGTTTTTCCTGTGCTGCTTTCAGAATTCTCTTTGTCTTTGGTTTTGATGAGTTTGATGATGATATGTCTTGGTGATTTTCTTTTGGGGTCTATCCTGTTTGAGGTTCATTGGACTTCCTGAATGGATATATTCTAATCTTTCATCATATCAGGGAACTTCTCTTCCAACAAATCTTGGATAATTTTCTCAGGTTTTATTTTACTCTTCCTGTTCTGGAATTCCAATGACATGTAGGTTTTTCCTTTTGATGGTATCCCACATGAACCTTACGCTTTCTTCATTTTGTTTTGACCTTTTTTCTGATTGATCTCTTTCCAAAGAAGTATTCAAGTATTTGTCTTCAATCTCATTAATTCTGCCTTCCATTGCATCAATTCTACTCCTTTGTCCTTTTGATGTGTTATCTATTTCTGACAACTTAGTATTAATCTTCTGGATTTCTATCTGTAGATTTAGACTCATTTCTAATTTTTCATTTATTTTGTCATTTTGTTCTTGTATTTTCTTCCAAAATTCTTCTAGGGTTTTGTCTGTGTTTTCCTTTATCTGTTTCTCAATCCTTTGAAGATAACTAAATATAATTCTTTTGAATTCCTTATCAGGGAGTTTCAATGCTGCATCTTCCTCAGGGATGTGTTCTGGGTCTGTAGCCTGCTCCCTTGTTTCTACCACTTTATTTTGCTTCTTTGTGTGGACTGTGATGGTCTATTGTCTCCAAGACATTGTGATGTTGTTGTATTTAGATGTCTGTTTATGGTTTGTGAAGAGCAGCTAAGGGTGAGTAAGGCTCTTCTTGGTGGTTGTTTATTGTTGGCACATTGGTGGAGAAGGAAGTGGTGGCTCTCACTCAGTAAGTGAAGCTGCAGGAGGTGTGGGTGTAGTTGTGTTGTATGGGGATTGTTGCTGTCTCCCACTCAATTAGACAAAAATAACAAGTGAATAACCATCAAAAAAGTAAAAGCAAATGGACAAAAAACACACCATGTAACTGAAAAAAGGGAAAAGAAAAAAAAAAAACTCTGTAACATTTGAGGAGAGAGCAATAAGAGCAAAATGGTACAGAAGGAGAATATTGAAGAAAAAAAATAAGAAAAACACAAAAAGAAAAACAAGGAACAGGGTTAACCACAAGAAAGAAAAAAAAATTGGAATCAGGAACAGGGAAAAGAAAAAAAGCTGAAAACTACAACCTGGGAAGGGAAGAATAAAGAATAATAATAAAAAGGACAGAAGTAATAATAATAATAATAATAGTGGTTTTAAAACAGACACAAATAAACGAACTAAAAAAAAGAAAAAAAAAATCGGGGAAGGGTGGGGCAGGGCACCCAGGCTCCTACCGAGCACACAGACTGGGATGGAACTCCTGCCGGCCTAGAAGGTGGGTGGGAGTGAGGAATGGCCACATTTTCATTCACCAAGATGATGTGGGGTATAAGAGTAACAAGGGGAATGTCACACCTTTCCAGTCGTCCATGTCCGGAATGTTCTTGCGGTTCCCGGCAAGTGGAGCCTGTTCTCAAGTCCTTGGAATCTGGGAGAACGCTGTCACTTTAAATATCCAAAATGGTCAAACCACTTGTAAACATTCAAAATTGCTGCACCCTCCAGACAGGCAAAAGTCCACAGCTCAGTCTGCCTTCCTCTTCGCTGCTTCCTCTTTTATTCACCAGCCACCAGAGCAGTCCTCTGTGCAGTCCCTAGCTAGCAGGGCTGAGTTTTAGGTTAATTCTTAGGTCCTACCACCACTCAGCAGTATCCAAACTGTCTGTGCCGTCAGGATCGCTGCCAGACTGCAGCTCCGTATGTCTCCTTTTTTTGGTGTTTTCATGCAAATTCTTTTGCTAGTTGGAGTTTAGTCCACTTGTATATCCTTCCCTTCAAGACTTAGGAGTTCAGGATTATCTTCTGTACCTGTGTTAATTGGTTCCCCTTTTCTTTGTTGAAGAGGGTCTGTGCAGTCTTTTTGCCTATTCCACCATCTTACCAGAACCTCTATTTCAGCAAATATCAATATTTTTCTATTCCTATCATCATGGTTAAAATTAATAATAAAAATATTCTGAGGTTTGGCTTCTGAAGAGTAAGACAGGGTAACTTGAGGAAACAAAAGAGACCTTGTTATTTTTAGAGAAGTATGTAAACCCATATTGAAAAACCAAACTCACTGCCGTCGAGCTGGATCCAACAGATAGTGACCCTTCCTTGGGTTTCTGGGGTGGTATCTCTATGGAAAAAGATTGCTCGGTCTTCCTTCTGAGGAGTGGGGGGTGGGTTTGAACTGCCAATCTTCTGGTTAGCAGTCAAATGCATTAGGCATTATGTCACCAGAGCTCCTAAACCCACCCATATTGAAGAACAGCTATTTTTCTTAATTTTCCTGTGCAAGATCTAAAAGACTATATCTCACCACTGTGGTCTATACATTTTTGGCACAAGTTTCAGAACTACTCTTTTCTTTCTAAATTATGGTGCAGATAAGACAGTAACATTACTCTTAGATATGAATTATTATTTTTTCCAGTGAAGAACAGAGGTGAAAAAGACAATATTTACTGATAAAAACTTTCAAAACACTCCAGGATACTTAATTTCTTAAATAATAGGGAAGCCCTTTCTTATAACTGAGAAACTATTTAAAACAAATGAGCAGAATTCTCAGTTCACATCACATCTCTAAGACCCGCTCTCTCCATTAACTCATTCATATATCTGCTGGTTATTATTAGTCTGTTTTTCATCTTGGTCTCTGGTGTTAGCCTAACATAGTACTGGAAAATAAAACAATTCAATGATGAGAAAATGAAGCTTTCTATGTGTATAAAGGGAGCTCTGGTAGCATAGTGGCTAAGACACTTGCCTGCTAACCAGATGGCTGGCGGTTCAAACCCACCAGCCACTCCTCGGAAGGAAGGTTGGGCAATCCTACTTCCGTAGTGATACTGCCTCAGAAACCCAAGGAGGGGTCGCTATGAGTCGGGGCCGACTTGACGGCACATAACAACAACAACAACAATGTGTATAAAAGAAGGAATCTAAACTTCAAACCTCGTCTTGTCAAGTTGATCTTTACTAGGGAGAATGCCTAAGTGACTCCTGAATCTGTCAATGGGGATAAGACCTTAGAGAAATCTACTATGTATCTTTGACAAAAAAACCCTGCAGACTTTAGGGTTATATCATATCATTAATTCACAATTCCTACCTGTTTTGTTTTCTGTAGTACTGCTCTAACAGAAAATACCACAAATGGGTGGTTTTAAACAAACAGGGCTTTATTCTCTTACAGTTTAGAAGTCTGAGTTCAAAGTGCCAGCTCTGGGGGCTGGGTGAAAGCCCCTTGAACTTGTCCTTCAGCTCTGTCTCTTGCTCCCGGCCCAATGAAACTGGAGACATCTCTTAGTCATCTCTTAGCTGACTGCTGAGGCTGACAATCCCAAGGTTGACAAATAAAATGGCACAGTCCCAAAATTATCAAGCAATACAGCAGGACACTAATTCAAGTCCATTAGCAGTCCCAAGATTGGAAGACAACATGGCAGACCATTGAGATGAAGACTCAGCCAAATGCAGGGTCCAAGCATGCCAAAAAGTTCAGAGACCTCTCTCAAAGCTGTCTTGTTGTACACTGGAAGCAGGCCTCATGCCTAGGGCAGCTACTCAACTGCTTAAGTTGAGTCCACCATGGAGCTGATTACCAGTCTCATCATGGGGAGTAACTATATCCAGCTGCCCAGCCATTCACCAGGCCCAGACAAGTTGACACATAACCTTAACTACCATACTACCCAATCCATATGCACATCAATGAAGTTGGCCTGCCCTACACTTTGATTATAATATCCAAAACACAGATAGTAGGGGGAAAAAAAAAAAAAGCATAGAGGCAGCTATGTTTTAACATTCTTCCTATTTTGACTCTTGCATAATTTCTGATCTGTGGCTATGATTGTGTCCATGACAGGTAAACACATACAAATTACCACAAGGTACTCATTTATGATGCACCTTCTGACCTTCTAATTCCCAAAATCTAAGAACTTGTATTCAAAATAAAAATAAGAGAAAAATAAGAAAAGCAGGCAGATTATTGGACTTCAGGGTTAAATTGGTGGCTCTGGATACTGTAATTTGCACAAAGGCCATTTAATTGCTCAGTGCCTCAATTTCTTCAAAAATAAAACCAGAGGCTGGAAAGGATGTAAGAAAAAATGATTGCTTCAGAAATGTTTTAAATACTGTGGTCTTGTCCCTTTCAACTGCAAAGGAAGTTTGGTAAGAATAACAAGAAAGATTTTTACATGGGGTAAAATTTTAGGCCATCTACTTACTTACCAATAATAACAGTGTTGTCATCAGCAATTAGCAACTTGCTGTGGACATAGATAAGCTCAGTGACCAGGTTTCCTTCAAGCTCTGCATGTGTTCTAAGGCCACAGAATGATATGTAATTTATCCACTGATTGCCAACTGTACAATAAAAAAAGATTGCTTAAATTAATATGACCAAGTTTTATTGTTCTGCAAAACAAATATGCTCCTTAGATAGGTTCTTAAGAATAGATTATACATATACATATATATTCAGAATATATTTTTTGATGATATGTACAATAGGATATAAATTAACATATAGATAGCATTTTTTCTAATCAGTAAAATATTTTCTCAGTCTTAATCTGTTAAACAAATTCATAAATGAACACTTTATTTTAGTGATTTGGCAGGTAATTACTGAAGAGTGATGATTAAAGCTAAGCCCCAGTAGATAACCCAAAATTTCAGTGTAATATTTACATCTGTCTTCATTGACACCTGCTGCCATTTAAATTCAATGCAAGATGTGTGCCAAGACCACCTGATGCATACATATTTTGTAACATATTTAGTCACAAATAGCAGTTAAAATTTACAGATATTGAGTAAATAAAAATGTTGGAAATTTAAAAATCCTCCACCTCCTAGATCATTAAAATAAGGAAATGAAAGAATCCTCAGTACATTTGACTGTGGTGAATTATGTTCCGATGACATTTGACTGTGGTGAATTTTGTTCCGATGAAGTGCTAACAGGTTTGTACTTTAACACTGCCCTCTCATCACATGATAGGTAGAGAGAGGCATCCACACCCAGCAACCAATAATCATTACCCTGGCCTGAGAGTGTGAGTCACAGGATTTTATGGTCCCTCTCCCACAAATCAGTTGTCCTGGATAAGCAACATCTGATACTAAGAATAAATGGAGTGGAAATAAACCATCTCACATTCTAATAGAGAATATAAATATCCTTCCCACACCCTTTCAGAGAACATGAAGTATTCTAATAATTCCATTTACTGAAGTTTCCATTTATTACTAATGTTTTCTATTACTGTTGATGCTATTCAATGTTTCTATTATGTTTGCAGGTTGCGGGTCTGGGAAAGAAATTCATAGGTTATACACAAAGATTCTTCCACTAATAGGTTACCTATATACATATATATGTATGTATATATATAATTGCTATCTATATGTTAATTTATATCCTATTGTACATATCATCTGCAAATCATCTGTGTATCATATCATCTGCAAATGGAGGTGGTTTTAGTTATTTTCCACTTCATATATGACTTCTTTTGTCTAAATGCATTAGATGATACCTCCAAGACAATATTAAATAGTTTTGAAAATAGACCCCCATGTATATACAGGTTTCCCTTGTTATCCGAAAGTAGAGCAGTCCTATGAAACCTTTGGTAAAGTGAAATAGTATGAAGTGAGGAAGCAATTGTCATTAATTTAAATGAGAAAAAAATTTTGAGCATCACCAGACCTGAAAATTAACCTACCAAATCACACAGAATAACACAAAAAAGCTAAAATAACACTAACATACAGTAAAAGCAGGGATGATATGATAAGTGGACAGCCTCTATAAAACAGAATACAGTGTCCTTTCACTCTTGCTGCTTCGGGTGTGTGCTGTCTCTTTAATAGCTTGCTGCATAACAAATGCTGAAGGCTATTTCCTTATTTTACTTTTTTTGTAAAAGAGAAATCATCTTTAGGTTTCTTTTAGTTAATGAAAACAGGTACCAATGTGCCTTATGAAAACTTTATGGAGCAGTTCTACCCTGCACACATGATGCTGCCCTGAAGAATCAATTTGATGGCAACTAACAACAGTAATACATGTTTTGTATATTTTTAAGCATGTTAAGAAAGTACCCTTAATTTTCTACTTTCCTCATTGTTTTTATTAGGAACGGGTGCTTTTCACCATCTGTTGACATAGTCAAATGATTTTTCTTTCTACCTTGATCAATATGATGTATTATAATAACAGAGTGCCTCATATTGAACAGCTGATCAGACTTGTACCCTTGGAACACATCTGACTGGGTATGGAGTATTATTTCTTACTCTATACCTCTATTCTGAAACCTATAAGCACCAAGGCTCTATGGCACTGTGGTTCGAAGAATGGAGTCATCTAGGGTGCTTATTGAACTATGTATGGATATCTGTTGAAGCAGAATCTCCCTAGACCCTCTCTAGGGAGGGTCCCAGGAATCTACTTTTAACAAGTCCCCACAGGTGATCCTTATGCACATAGACATCCTTGAAGCCTAGAGCTGAATTCCCACTCATGGCTCAACTTGCAGCCACACAGTAGACAGGCCTATCAGATGAACTATATAACACCAGGGAAATATACCCTCCTTAAAACATTCAACCACAGGAAATCAAAACTGCAGCATTTGCCCAGGGATAAAACTAAGAAGGCGGGAAGGGATAGGAAAGAAGGACAAATGGATTCTATAGAGGAATCCTGATCAAAAGAGAGGGGAAAAAAATTGTTTTTTACGTGAAACTTTGTAGCAATGCCTCTTGTACCTACAGTTCAACTTTGAAACACAACTGCGAGAGCTCATACATATTCTATACACATTATACATGCTGTTGTTGTTATGTGCCATCGAGTCAGACCCAACTCATAGCAACCCCTCCTTGGGTTTCCAAGGCAGTATGGAAGTAGATTGCCCAGCCTTCCTTCCAGGGAGTGGCTGGTGGGTTTGAACCACCAATCTTCTAGTTAGCAGTCGAGTGCCTTAGCCACTACTCTACCAGAGCTCCCACACATTATACAAAGAATTCCATATATTCTCCATATATGGAACACACACACATATATGCATAATTATATTTATTGTTTACATCAGTCACAGAAATAAACTGTAAATGGATTAGAAGCATCTGAAACCATGTAAGTGTTAGAAAATAATAAGGGTGACTTTCTGTATAACTTGAGCATAGGATAGACTTTGTAACTTGAAGCATTAAAAGAAAAGACTGACAATTTTGGCTACATTAAAAACAAACATGTTTGCATGACTCAAAACATAACAAGCAAAAACAAAAGGCAAATGACAAACTAGGAGAAAATATGTGTAGTTATATATTATAGATAAAGAATGTACATCCTAATAGGTAAAAAACTTAATAACTGAAGGCAAAAAAGATCAAAATATTGAGGTAAAATTGGGCAAAAAAACCTCAACAGGAATTCACAAAAACAGTACATTTGATTATACATATGTATAATCATTGTTGTTGTTGTTGTTATGTGCCGTGGAGTCGGCCCCGACTCATAGCGACCCCTCCTTGGGTTTCCGAGGCAGTATCACTACGGAAGTAGGATTGCCCAACCTTCCTTCCGAGGAGTGGCTGGTGGGTTTGAACCGCCAGCCGTCTGGTTAGCAGGCAAGTGTCTTAGCCACTATGCTACCAGAGCTCCCATGTATAATCATAGAAATGTAAATTAACACTATACTGAGAAACCATTTCTGACCTATGAGACTGGCAAAAAATAAAAAGATAATACAATTTCTTGGTGACACTTATGGGAAATAAACTCTCTCATATATTATTGGTAAAGATGCAAATTGGTACAAGCTTTCTGGTGGGGAATTTGCTAATATCTGATAAAAGTACCTTTGTTTTTACTTTTTGACCTAGCAATCCTACTTCTAGAAATTCACCGTAAGTATAACCTCCAATAAATAAGAACACACATGCACAAGGCTGTTCACTGAATAATCTTGTATTAGAAAAATACTTAAAACAAACAAAATGCCCATGCACAGGAAAGTGATTTAAAAAAAAACTATGGTACATAAAAGATACATAAAAGATTATTCAGAAAATAATAATAGAAAAAGAGTACAGATCTCTATGAACAGACACAGAATGATTTTCAGGACATACCGTTTAATGAAAAAAGCAAAGAGAACAAGAAAATATGTGGTTGCAATTTTTGTGGAAGAGACAGGGAAAAATAAGATACACATGTATCTGCTCATTTATGCAAAGAAACACAGCAAGAATATTATAGAAACTAATGAAATTGGTTAACAATAAGAGGGGAGTGGGAATAGGGTGGAAAAGATACTGGGGGAAAGTGTAAGGAAATGATACTTACCTAATCAGGCCTTTTATCTATCTATCTATCTATCTACCTACCTACCTACTACCTACCTACCTATCAGTCTGTCTATCTATCCAAACACATATAATCTGTCTATTGGAAGAATGTTAATATTTAACACACTCAAAAGAAATGGGGAAAAGAGTTAAAATGGAATACAAATGGGCAGAAGTGAACCTAATTATATTTAATTAATAACATAATTAAATAACTTTTGAACACAGACTTTTGCTTATATAGCCTCAGGTTAAAGAAAAAACTAAACAAATATTGAACTCTAGTGAGTAGGTTTATTTTTTATAGTAGTATGAGGTAATTTTTTTTTTATTGTGGTGAAAATATATGTAACATGACATATTTCAACTCAACAATATCTACATGTACAACTCAGAGATATTGATTATATTCTTCAGGTTGAACAACCATTCTCAATAATCTTTCCAAATCACTCCTGTACTATTAACATAAACTCAATGCCCTCTAAGCAAAAGCTCCCCTTTCCCTTCCCTCCCACCCTTGGTAACCACTAATAAACTTTGATTTCTATATATTTGCTTCTTTCATGTAAGTGAGATTGAACTAAAAACCAGACTTACTGCCATCCAGTCAACTCTGACTCATAGCGACCCTTTTTGGGTTTCCGAGGTAATAAATATGTACAGAAGTAGAGTGCCCAGTTCGCCTTCTGCTGAGTGGCAGTGGATGTGAACTGCCAACCTTCTGGTTAGCAGTTGTGGTGTTTAAGTTCGTGTGTCAACTTGGCTGTGCCTGGTTGAGTGGCTGAGCAGCTGGATGTAGTATTCCCCATGATGAGACTGGTAATCAACTCCATGGTGGAATCTACTGTGAGCAGCTGAGTAGCTGTCTTAGGGATGTGGTCTGCTTCCTGTATATAAGGAGAAGCCTTGGGGAATGGTCTCTAGCTTATGGCATGTTTGAACCCTACATGGAGCTGTGTTGTTGCTCAGCAGCGTGCCATGCTCTGCCAATTTTG